GGGTTGCAAAGAAATGTGAACAGCTCTGGGGAGCGAGCTGGGAGTTGCTGCACTCTTCAGCCGGGTAATATCTACAACTCGGTTAGCAAAACAACCCACAAATACACGCAGTGATCCCTCTGTCGTCCCTTTAATTTCAGATTAAGTATACCAGCCTTCTGATTTGCTTAACTTTACTGAAAAACAAAGTCTATAAAGTGGCTGTGCTAAGAGAACCCACTGCTTAGAAGATTAGCGATATGTCTTTACAGAACTGCGAGTGGAAAGTTTCAATGTTAAACACAGAGAAAGAGGAGAGTCTTAGTTTGGTTTTAGCTTTCAATTGAAAAGCGATGAGAGAATGTTAATGATATGCAGGGAGAATGAGGCCAGATGAAAGCCGGTCTAAAGTCTGAGGCAGAAGCAGAGAGGGAGGAGGTGAGGGTGAAGGGGGAAGGATGGAGGGGTAGAGGTGGGAAAGGTGGCACGAATGAAGCAGACACAGGAAAGTTCAAGATTAAGCAATGTTCAGAAAGCCGAGTGAGAAATTAGAAAGTATTTGTGGCTGTGAGCATACACGTGAGGCTCATGTCATTTATTTGTATCTTAATCCCTGCGTCTAATCATATATACACTCACTGACCACTTCATTAGGTACACCTGCTTGTTAGTGCAAATAATCTATCAGTCTGCAAAGGTGGTCAAGATGACTCGTTCAAACTGAGCAACAGAATGGGGGAGAAAGGCGATTTGAGTGACTTTACATGTGGTATAGTTGTTGGGGCCAGACAGGCTGGTAGTATTTCAGAACCTGATGATCTACCAGGATCTTCCCACACAGACATCTCTAGTTTACAGAGAATTGTCTGAAAAAGAGAAAACAACCATTGAGCAGCAATTCGGTGGGCGAAAATGACTTGTTGATGCCAAAGGTCAGAGGAGAAAGGGAAGTAGCTTGTAGGAAGGCAGCAGCTGGTTACAGCCAAGCTATTGCAGAAGAACATCTCTGAATACACAACAGTTTGAAGCAGAAGGGCTACAGCAGCAGAAGAAGACCACACTCTGTCCCACTCCTGTAACCTACCTACAAACATGAAACCGAGGCTTCAAGTAGCAGAAGGTCATCAAAATTGAACAACATAGAAAAAATGAAAAACATTCTTGGCTTCCACTTTGGTTCATTTCATTTAAACATCACAATCTACAATCACCAGATCTCAGTCCAACAGAGACCCTTTGGGATGTGATGAAATAGGAGATTCACATCATGGAGCTAGAAAGTGTTCAGTTTGCTCATTTGTAACATTGGCTGTAAGTATTGTGGTTTTTTAAGCCAGGAGTGATGATGACGGTACTTCTTTTTCTTCTTCTTACTATTATTACTGGAACAAAAGCGTGGACTGTTAAATTACAAGCTAACACTAACAAGCTTGTTTATCAAGCTGTACAGACACACATACTGTACCTGCTAATTATGACTAAGTACCAGGATAATAAAATACTAGAATTTCCCCTCACCCAGACAGAAGCACGAACTTCTTTTACAGGCTGTCGGTACAATTAACTGCACAGCAAGCCATTTTATTTGTCAGATAATTGCAGCACCACTACAAATTAGCAAAGATTTAGCTTAGCAGAAGCTACCACATACAGCTAACTGTGCTAGCATTAAAAAGTAATCCACAGTTGCCAAGCCTCTGATCTGAACCTTTAATAACATCAAAGTGGTTGATTTATAAAATAAAATTAAAGGGAGATTATCCAGAGAGAATAAAACACTTTTGGTACCGGGCAGTAAACATGTTCATCCTGGCTGTAGCATTCGCCATTTTTACGTGATAGTCTATCCCAGGGGTCAGGAACCTTCAACACCCAAAGAGCCATTTGGACCTGGTTTCCACGCAAAAGAAAACACTGGGAGCCGCAAATACTATTTGACATCTAAAATGAAGATAACACTGTATATATTGGGGGGTTTTTTTACCTTTATGCTTTGTGTGAACAACTAAGGTGTGTTGCTTATGAAATCCATGAAGTGCTACAGAGAAAATTACATTTTATTTATGTAATTAACACATTTTGAACTCTTAAAGAAATATAACGAAAGGAAAGACACCCAGCTGAACTAAAATGATCCATGTAGCAAACAAAAACTGTTGTGAGCCGCCACCCTTATATCTCCTTTGGACTTTTGGAGCCTTGACCTGACTTTTAAAAAACAATTGGAAAAAAGCACTATGCTGCTAAAAAAAGAAAGAAAAATAGATATTGGCAAAATTCTGCCTAAATATGTATTTTACCTGGTTAATGTGTGTGCCGGGGGCTGTGTCCCAATTTAGGGTCTGCACGCTTGAAGTACACGCACTACTCGTACTACGTACAGCGCCTACTATAAGTACCAGAAGTGCGGAAGTGAGAGGCTTGTGAAATGGGACGGTCTAGCCCTTCGTTGCGCTGTTCAGGTTGCCTAGCAACCATGATACTAAC